AGGGACATCGCGTCCAACCGTCGGGAGCTGCTGCAGCTGCGCATCACCCACGTTCTGAACGCCTCCCACTGCCGCTGGCGCGGCGGCGCCGAGTTCTACGAGGGCACGGGCATCCGCTACCTGGGCATCGAGGCGCACGACTCGCCCTCCTTCGACATGAGCCCCTACTTCTACCCCGCCGCCGACTTCATCCACCAGGCCCTCAACGAAGGTCCCTGGGGACGGGGAAGGGTGGGGGAGCTGCTCTGGGAGGGTGGGGAATGCCCTGGGAGGGTGGGGAATGCTCTGGGAGGGTGAGGAATACCCTGGGAGGGTGGGGAATGCTCTGGAAGGGTGGGGAGCTGGGCTGGTGCCCTGGGGATCCCGGGGAGCAAAGGTGGTCCCAGGCTGGGATGGTGTCACATGTATGGGATCACCCTGATGGTGTCTCTTGGGGTCATCTTGATGGTGTCTCCTCATGGGATGGCCCCGCTGGTGTCTCCTTATGGGATCACATCAATGGTGTCTCCTTATGGGATCACCTCAGTAGCGTCCCATGTATGGGATGACCCTGCTGGTGTTCCCTGGATGGGATCACCCCGATGCTGTCCCCTTCATGGGATGACCCCGATGGTGTCTCTTGGGATCACCCTTGTGTCTCATATGATCACAGCTTGATGGTGTCCCCCTGGATGGGATCACCCTGATGATGTCCCCTGCATGGGATCACCTCAGCGGTGTCTCCTTATGGGATCACCTTAATGGTGTCTCCTCATGAGATGACCCCACCGCTGTCCCCTGCACGGCATCACCTCCTCCCCATAGGAACAGGCAGGATGAGAGCCCTGTCCCCCCTATGTCCCACCCCCAGCCTATGCCCTGAGCTGTTTCTGGGTCCTTTTTGGGATGCCAGGACACGCTGACACCCTTTTCCATGAGGGCGACCCCACTGTGTTCCCCCATCCCCTCCCCGGGCGCTCCATGGCACACTCAGTAGTGTGATTTGGGGATTTTTTATCGGGATTTGGTGGCCGTGCAGTGACCCCGCGCTGTGTCCCCGCAGGGAGGATCCTGGTGCACTGCGCCGTCGGGGTCAGCAGATCGGCCACCTTGGTCCTCGCCTACCTCATGATCCGCCACCACATGCCCCTGGTGGAAGCCATAAAGACGGTCAAGGACCACCGCGGGATCATCCCCAACCGCGGCTTCCTGCGCCAGCTGGTGGCCCTGGACAACGCCCTGCGGCTCAAGAGGAGCTCCTGAGAGAGCCGGGGGCTCTGCCCGCCCGGTCCCCGCTCGCCCAGCTCGGCCACTGCGAGCCACCCCCGTGTCCACCCCAAACCCCGCAGGCCATGGCCCCCCTCCCACCCCGCTCGCCCCAAGCCACCCCCGCAGGGACTCGGCCCCGTGGCACCGGTCACTCCGTCCCCGCGGGCTCCGGGCAGCCTCCACGGCTTTGTCCCCCSTTTCCCAGCCAGTCGTGTCCCCTCCTGCCAGGACACCGCCGCTCTGTGTCCCCCGCCGTGTGTCCCGTGTGTTTGTGGTGACGTGGCTCGGCTCCGGTRGGTGGGTTCGGGCAGAGCTCACCCCGTCGTGGTGTTTGGGTGTTGTCCGTGCCTCGTGTCACCCTGTGAAAATAAAGCCAGCGCTAAGGACAGCCCTGGGCCACCCTCGGGTGCTTTGGGACAGCTGGGGCTGGGGTCTGTCACGGGAGTTGGGGACAGAGTGCTCGGGGTTGGGATGGACCTGAATCCTCCTCAAATTCCCAGTGCAGGGAAAAGCTGAGCCCCCTCCCAGAGCCCAAAGCTGAGCCTCCACCCAGTGCCTGTCCTGGGTGTCCCCACCCGGTGTCTGTCCTGGGTGTCCCCACTCTTTTTCTTTGGGGACAAACTGGAGGCTCCTGGTGGGAAGCAGAGCCGGGCTGGCACTCCCAAGGTCACCGTGCCAGTGTCCCAAAGGGGCCACCCAGGCTGTGACAAACACCCCCAGGAGCAGTGGGGCTGGGGGAGGCTGGGCCAGGGAGGGGTGTCCTGGTGGCCCTGGTGGCCCCAGCCCCGCCGCCCGCCAGCCCCCATTGTCCTCCCGCTCCCGTTATAGCTCCATTCTTCCTGCGCTTCCGGAGGGCCCCGGAGCAGCGCTGGGACGGTGGAAAGGGGCAGGGAGAGGAGCCGGGGACAGAGCAGGGACAGAGCGGGGACAGCGCCAGGGTTTGGGACACCGCGGGGACAGAGCCACAGCACCCATGGGTCACTGCTGACCGCGCTGGGAATCACAAAACCCAGACTGGGCTGGGTGGGAAGGGACCTTAAAACCCACCCAGTGCCACCCGTGCCATGGGAAGGGACACTTTCCACTGTCCCAGGTGCTCCCAGACCTGTCCAGCCGGGCCTGGGGCACTTTGGGGACACAGCGCGGGATGCGCAGGACAGGGACACTCCGGGGGTGCGGCCACCGGGGCCACCTCTCCCTGTCCCAGCCCCGGTGGCGGCGGGACGGGGGCGGTCCGGGGGCGGCCCCGGGGGGACTGCGGGGCCGGGGCGGGGTTTGCGGGCACGGCCATGGCCCGGCGGAGCAGCCGCGGCCCCGCGGAGCCGCCCGATGCCCCCGTTCCAGTGGTGCCACGGTGAGCGCGGGGAGGGGGCGGCTGCGTGGGGAGGGGGCGTCCCCTGCCTGCTTCCCGGGCGGGGGGAGCGGGGCATCCCTCGAGCATGCCCCGGGCATCTCCCGGGCACCCTCGGGCATCCCTCGGGCATTCCCCGGGCACCCCCGGCCGCTCCGTGCTCTCCCCTGTGACACCCACATGTCCCCCGGTCCCTCCGGTCCCCCCGGTCCCCCCGGTTCCCCCGTCCCTCTCGGCTCTCAGGGATGAAACCCCCGGCGCAATGAATTTACCACTCTCTGGCTGCTTGCACCCAAAAAAACCGACCCCAAACCCGCTCTCGCGCACCCGAAAAGTGGAACGAACTCGTTTTTCGGGGTCCCCAGACGGGGCCGCGGCTCCTCCGGCCGTCAGGAGCTCTCGGGAGCGCGGGGCTGAGCCCGCACATGTGAGCGGGGCTCGGCTCCAGTGAGGAGAGGGGGTTTTTTTGTGACTGAGGGGTTGAGAGGCTGCGCTGGCAATTCCAGCATCAAACAAAGGCCGGGCTGGTTTCATTTACAGCCTTTGAAGATAAATATAACGGCAGCAGCGGCTTCCTCCGCTCTCACCCAGCCCCGCTGCGGGGACGCGGAGCCGCAGTTGTCCCGCACGTGTGGCACCGGGTGGGTGCGGGGAAATGCTCCGCAGCAGCTCCAGGCCCGGCTGGCTTGGGGAAAAGCTCCGAAATAAGCGAGGCTTTTGCTTCAGAGCTCTGTCCGAGGCTTTGGGGACAGCGGGACAGAGCCCAGCCTTATTCCGAGAACGAGGAGTGGCTTCGGGGCACCGGCCCCGGGCACCCAACTTGTGCATTTTGGCTTCCAGCCCCAGGCTCGCAAATATTTGATAAATCAGAGCGCGGTGCTGCTAAGGGCCTTCACARGGCTGTTGGTGGAAAAATCAGATTTTAACTTAAATGGGTTTATTCAGAGGAGTTTGAGCTGCTRCCTCGGCATTTCGGCTCCTCCTTCGCAGCTCCCGCTGCTCACCTGAGCTCGGGGCTTTGCAGAAACCCGGGAACTTCATTTGGAGGGAAGATCCTTATTCCCCGTGTGGGATTTTGTTTTGGGGCAGCTTTTTGCAGGGAGCCTCTGCCTATATCCCAGCAAAACCGATATGGGAACGGCATCGGGTCTGGTGGTGCAAATCCCACGGATTTTGTGTGGGAGGAGAAGGAATGGTTTTRTTTAATGCCCTGCTGAGTTTTCCATTTGTTTTATTGAACAAGAATCGGGGTGAGGGAGAAACTCTGCTCTGCACAGTGGGGGTGAAAATTTGGGTCTGTCCTGATTGGAAATATCGTGGAATAAATCAGAATGTGGGGTCTGAGGGACCAAACTGGGATTGGAGGGGTTTGAGGAGGGGTTGGTTGTGGGGTTGTGGGGTTRTGGGGTTGAGGTCASGCTGTGGGGTTTGSTGTGGGGCACAGGGCTGGGGTCACCCCATTGTGCAGCTCAAGGCTCTGTGTCCTCAGCACAGCTCACAGAGGGGGATTTGGGTTAAATCTGCGTGGGGAGGAGGAGGAAGAGGAGGAGGAAAAAGTTCAAAGCACAGCCCTGATGGGTCAAACTGTCCCCGGGTTCCTTCTCCTTCCTGAAGGAGCTTTGGGAGTTTGCACAAAAATGACTTTGCTGGCAAAACGCAGCGGCTTCGTGCGAGCATCCTTCGAGCAGGAGCCCCGAAAGGCCCCGTGCGTCTCTGGGCACCTCCCCAAACATCTGCAGATCCCTCTTTTCCCATTTTTCAATCCCACAATCTCTCCAGCCCCCAGAGTCTCTGGTTCTGGTGGAAGGGGTTGTTCCGCCCTGGCGCCCATCAGGTCCTCATTTCACGTTTGGTTAAACCCGGATTTGATCGATTCCCCTTGAACTGAAAACACAAAGGGTTTAATCAAAACCAACCCAGGGAAGGGGCTGGGAGGGAGAGGGGGCTGAGCTCGGCAGGGACCCCCTGCTCCAGACCCTCTGCACATCCCATACCCTGTCCCGGAGCAGCAAAGGGAATTTTCCTGGAGCCCKTGAGTTCCTGAAGGTCAGGAACACCCCTGGATGAGCTGGTGAGTCCCAAACGGGYCCTTGTGGGGTCAGGGATGGGATTTCTGCCCCACGGGATGGGGCAGAGTGCGGGGGCTGTCAGAACAGAGCAGAGCAGGGATGGCTGGGGGTGATTTTTGGGGTCGTGCGCTGGGTTTTGAGCCCCTCAGATGAGCACAGAGGGAAAGGCTGGGGCTCTCCAGGTGCTCCAGCATTACCTCATGCTCTCAT